CACATTCATTTACAAAAAATAACATTCAACATTAAATATTATTTTTATATTATTAACACAAAATTCTAAGATTCACATAAAAAAACTCGATACTAAATTACTAAAGAAACATACTCGTAATATATGTTAAGGGTGTGTTTGTTTGGGGGTTTGGATTTTAAATTAAGATTTGAATAGTAAAAATTTTGAATTTGAATAATTGTATGATGTGATATAAATAGGTGTTGATGTGATATTTTGAATGTAAAATTGATTTTTAGTATAATATAAAAAATAAAAAATAGGTGTTTGATTTAATATTTTTGGGAAAAAAATGAGATGAATAATGGAAATCTAATCCAATCCCCCAAACAAACATATCTTCACATGATATTTTGAATGAAACAATGTTCAATGCATATTATTTTTTAAAAAAATTAATATACATACATTAATAATATACTCCCTCCGTCCCAGAAATAAGTATTCATTTGTTTTTTGAACGTAGTTTTAAAAATATTAGTATTATATTGGGATATAGTAGAAATAAAGTAGAAATGATCAAAATAACCTTATTAGTATGTGTGATATAAAGGTAATGGCATTTGTGTAATATATTGTAAGTTGTAAGGGTATTTGTAATTTTAGGTAGATAATACAATTATTAAAATAAGAAATGGATACTTTGTTATGGGACGGACTAAAATGAAAAAATAGATACTTTGTTATGGGACGGAGGGAGTATATTTTATTTATTCATAAAATTAACAATTTAATAAAAAAAATATTTTATATATATTATCAATATAATTATTTATGACTAACATAAAAGTTATATTCATAAATTATCTTTATTTTTTTATATATTTCACATAAGTCGTTGTGATATCCATTATTATAAGTTTATTTATTCGTTTATTTATTTTATTTAGTTTAGAATTTTGATTTGATTTGTAATTAAAATACAAATTGAACACATTCTTGATTTTAACATTTTATAATCCTTCCATTTCAGAACTATAGTTTATGTTGAATTTGACACTGTGTAAAAAATACTGGTAAAATATTTTTTTTTTTCCTTCTGAGTAATATATTCATTAATTTGTCCACGGATGTTACAGTATTTATTTGCCCTCGGTAGTTGATTGTGATGTAAGATATAGTACTATATATTTTGAAAAGTATACCATTGAGTTAATAAAATCAAAAAAAAAAATAATGCATAATTTATCCATTTTTATTTTCATTCATTTCATATAATTTGTTAATTTTTTAAAATGTTATTATACATTTTAATCAAATTTTAAAATTTATAAATTTTTATTTTAATTAAATTATTTAATCATTTTATTTTTAATATATAATTATTTTTACTAATATATTTTTAAATTACTTAAACAAATTAGCTTAAAGAGAGTAAGTAGTATAAAGAAATAAAAAAAAAAAAAAGATGTACAAGTGTTGGTTTATTATAAATATGAAGTATATATTTTTATGGATAAAAACAAATAAATAAAGATATATTTAATTAATAGATTGATGGAGTAATATATAATATATTTTTTATTTTTCTAAACTAAAAATACAGACTATAAAAATTACATATAATTATTTTTGTTTTTCCAGAAGTTTATATACAAAAAACCAATAGCATAAAACAATTTACTTGTAGTTTTTAAATAGTTTATCATCCTAAGTAAAAATATGGCAAAATAGCAAAAAACACATATGTGGTTTTTCAAATTGCTGAAAACCCCATGTGGTTCTAAACCTCTAAAAAATTTATTTGTGGTTTTCAAAATGTTGCAAAAAATCCCCCATCCCTTTGGATTTAAGGGCAATTGTATATCACGCTCTTCAAATGCGATTTTTGGTCCATATAGGGATATATTTATGTGTAAAATTACTAAAATACCATAATGACTTCTTCTTCCTTATTCTTCTTCTTTTTTATTGTTATACATACTTTCGAAATTTACTCTCAATTCATTTTTTTTATTTAAAATCCGCTAAACACAACCAAATTTGAAATCGATCCCAAATTTATCACAATTAATCGATCGGACATGGATCTTATTCTATTTTACCAAACTCAGAAATATTTCTTCTTGTGTTTTACAAAACCCAAAAATTTAAGAAATCCATTTGACATCAAAATTTAAAATCAATCTAAGAAGAAAGAAAGAAAGAAACGGCGTACGGAAGAATTAGTGGGAAAAAATTAGAAAGAAAGAAAATTGGGGAAAATGAGATAGAGAAAGAAGAAAGAAAAACATATTTGCTTCTGGTTGCAACTCCGAAGAATTAGAGAGAAAAAATAAAGAAGAAAGAAAATTGGGGAAAAAGAAATAGAAGAAGAAAAAAAAATTGGGAGAAAAAGAAGAAAAAAAAGAATCGGGTAGAACTGCTACGACGTGAAAAAGAATTAGAGAAGAAAAAAAATTGAGGAAAAAGATGTGTGAAGAGAATTTGGGAAAGAAAAAAAAGATGGAAGAAAGAAGTTGGGAGAAGAGAAAAAAATTAACCTAAGAAGAAATAATAGAAGAATAGAGAAAAATAAATTAAAAAATATATAAGTAAGGGTATAACTGTCAAATTTGATAAAATTTCTGAATGTGCAACATTTTGAAAAGCACAAGTAGGTTTTCAACGAATTCGTAAAACCACAGAGAAATTTTTTGCTATTTTGTTTAAAAATATATATCTTTCATCCCGCCGATCGAATTCGAATTACTATAAATATGATAATTTTTAAAATATATAATTAAAAATATATTAATAAAAAAATTACTTTGTAATATAAATTATAATTAAAAATTTATAAATTATAAAATTTAAAATAAAATTAAAATAAATAATTAATTTCTGAAAAAATAATAGACATGAAATATGAAAATGTCATAAATAGCAATATAGACACCATAGATAGAATGAATGGAGTATTATATTTTATTTAAATTATTATGAGAATAACTACTTTTATCTAAAAATATATATCAAAACTTCTCGTGACAAAGCTAGACATAGGTAAACAAAAGTTTGTTTAGTGATATTAATTTGATTTTTTTAAAAAAATAAAATAAAATTATTAGATAAAAAAATAAAATTGTATTAATAATATAAAAAATTTAAAATTTTATAATATTAATTAGCGAATTTGTTTTTGTTTTTTTAATTAGCGAATTTGTTTTGGGGTGAAACAATTGCAATATTTTAAAACTAGCCTACCGACCTAAGATTGAGTTTATTCTTTTGTGTTTTTTTTTTTTTGGATGTATGTTTATTTTGATTTCTGAATGAAATAATTATTTCTTCCATCTGGGCTAGGTATGCGACAATGTTCGATGTAAAATTTTTAAAAATAATAATATTTTAATATAAAAATAAAACAAGTATAAATTAAAGTGAAAGTATTATATAAAATTTATTAAAGAGTTAAACAAAAAAGAGGCAAATTGGTTATTATTTGTTAGAATAGTGCAATAAAAATATTTATTATAAACATATTATGCATAAATTTAGCAAATATAAAAATAAAAAAAAACATAATTATTCGGGACGGTATTATGTATGAAAATACTTCTATATTTATTATTATTATTATGTTATTTAAAAAATAAAAATGTCAATAATAGAAGTTTAATTATGGCAAGAATTGGGTTGCGTGTGAAGCAAAAACACACCTAAAATTTCACACATTTAAATGTTGAAATCCGAAGCTGATGTACGATCTCTCGTGAATTAAATAAATGCATTTCAAGCTAATAAATAAATAAATAAAAATCAAACATGTGGAATTTATTTATTTAATATAAGGGGAGAAATGTAGGGTGCACTTTCCAGAGTAGATAGTAGATACAAATCATCGTAGCGGTTTTTGAATCTACGGCAGAGATTTATGGGCCCTCATCTTGATTAAATCTAGCCGTTGCATTATCAAAAGTGTCCACCACTACATGTACATTCAATTATTGCACGATCCCAGGAGTTCAACTCCTGGAAAACCATACTGTTCCAGCTTCAGTCCCAATCCCATGATATTTTAAGCGGTAGTCCCGGGACCACGCAAGAAATATCCCACCAAATTAAAAGTAGCCAGTGCATAACTATAACAAAATAAAGCCACCTCCCACCCCCCTTCCCTACCCTCCCACCCCACCCCCACACACACTAGGGCCAAGAGTAAAACTTTTACACATCACTTTATTACATACACATATACATACATATTTATATGTGCCCCATATGTATACTTTATAGCCTATTTTAGAGAGTACAATATTTATTTTAGACCGAGTAAATTAAAAAGCTATTAATAATAATATTTTATTAATATTTTTAGTAGTATATTTTAATAATATATATAATATATATTATTTTGTATATAATAAAATTTTATATAATAATCGTTATTATAAATTAATTTTATAAAAATAAATATTTTTAAAGATAATATATATATTTGTTAATTGAATAGATATATAGAAATAATGTATTTTGAATGAATCATACAAGTAAAAAATTATAAATTTAATTAAATTAATTTATATTTATTAAATATATTTAAAATCACTAAATTTACCAAATAAAGAGAAATAGTGAAATCGAAAAAAATATTGTCATACTGCATATTATGAATTTACATTGAGATTAATTATTATACACGGACAATATAGATTGTTACATGTCTTTTCAATACAGTGGTAATTATATTAAATCAACAAAAATTAACACTTTTATCTCGTATAATTAATATTAATATACTTACAATAGACACATCACATAACCTATTTCTCTTTTTTCTTTTTTCGATTAAAAAAAAAAAAAACCCTTTATTTATATATATATATATTTTTTTTTATTGTCAATGCTTCTCACACACACAAATAAAGTAAAAATAAATTTAATAAATGCAATAAAAATAATTTATCACTCAGCCCACTTTACTCAATTTGACCGGAACTACCATTCTCCCTCCTCTCTATATAAACCTTTCCACCCCCTTCTCTCTCCTCACCCCTTTCTCTCTCTACCTGCAATTCTCAATACCCTAATTTAATTTAAAAATGGCAGAAACTCAGCCAAAGCGCCCCAGAGAAGAACCCCTCCAAGATTCACCCAACCTAACAAATTCCGGCGACTCCAAACGCCATAAACTTTCCGACGACAACAGCAAAGCCGACATTCTCAACTTTCTCGACGAGGACGAAGACGACGCCGGCCCCAGCCACGACCTGACGGCCATATTCACAACCTTGCAGCAGGAGCTCGACGCCGGCGGCAGCCTCCGGTCGCCGCCTCCGGCGGCCGATATTGACGCCGGAGATGAATATGAGGCTGCGAAATCCGTCATCAGACACCTCCTCGAAGCCTCCGACGATGAGCTCGGAATTCCTAACCGGAGGGAGGATGATAGTAACTTTGATTTGATAAATTCCGGCGAATCTTTGCCGTATAATTTTTCCGACGACGGCGGGCTCTGGGAGCTCGAAGACGAGAATGCTAACTATTACTATACTGTGTTGCAGTCGGAGCTTTTCATGTAGGAATTTGACTTGGACCCTTTTTGGGGTTGGAAATGAGAATTAGGAAAATGTTAGGGATGTAAATGGTGAAAAACAGAAGGTTAGGGGCAAAACCGTGAAAGGTAATAGAGGACATTTCAAACCAGTCCCTTATCTTTTGAGAATTCAGATCTTACATAGAATATTTTAAATTGATTTTTCTTTTTTATTTTTTAAAATATAGTAGTACTATATAATAAAGAAAAAGTAAAGTAAAAGAAAGAGACTCTTTACGTTCAATTTGTACATACGATAATTTACCGTTAATAAATAATAAAAAATGTAATTATAAAATAAGTTTAAAATTTAAAATAATTTAATTAAAATTTTAAAATTATAAATTATTAAATTAATAAATAATTAAAGTGTATAATTATATATATTTTTTAAAAATATAATAATAAATTATATAGGACATATTAAATAAAATATATGAATATTTTATGTTAGAAATTAGCCGTATTTTTATTGAGTTTGAGAAATTTTTGTTTGAATTTGGTATTAAAAAAATTTATTATAATTTTTGTCCGTTCAAAAATAAAAGTATTATTTGCTGATTTAGTAATTATATTATCTATTTAAATTAATAAATACTCTTACTATTAAGAATATATTACATAAAAGTTGTTATTTTTTTATTATACCATACTAATAGTGATATTTTTGTCTTTTTTACTATAACCTAATATTTTAAAATCTACGTGTAAAAAACAAATAATACTCTTGTTGCGGAACAAATATAGTATTTTTGTCTTTGGGGGGTTTGAATTTGAGTTATGATTTGAATAGTAAAAATTTTGAATTTGAATACTTATGTAATGTGATATAAATAGGTATTGATGTGGTGTTTTGAATGTAAAATTATTTTTAATAAAATATAAAAAAATAAAAAATGTGTATTTGATTTAATGTTTTAGGTGAATTTTTTTTTAATTAATAGTAAAAATTCTAACAGGTTAGCCAAACACACACCCTTAATGTGTAGAGTTTTGATTAAATTCTTTCTGTATTAAAAAATACAGTAGTAATATAAAAATTTCATAAGAAATAAAATTTCACTCCGTCTCACTTAACATGTCTATTATTTCATTTTCGTTTTTTTCACTTATTATGTTATTTTCTTTGAAAAAAAATTATATACTTTAACTTTATTTTAATTTTTAAAATTTATATATTTTTAAATTTTAATTAGATTAATTAGTTATTTTAATTTTAATATATAATTATTTTTATTAGACAATAATTATTTTTATTAATATATTTTTAATTATTTGCTAATTATACCTATTTTAAATTCTCGTGTCTATCGTAAAATGAACATTATGTTAGCCGAGACGGAGTGAGTAGTATTTCTTATTATTTTTAAATTTATAAACTCTATTTTTATTTGTGAGATTTTGATTTTAGTTTTATTATTTAAATTTTTTTCTTTTCAAAATTATCAAATTTAATATTTATTTTTTATTTGTTATATTTTATAAAAGTTATGTTATGTGACTTTACCATGATGATAAGGTGAGAACTTAGGATGTGTTTATTTTGATTTGTTTTGAAAATTTTGATTTGAGATTAATATAAAAATAATATATATTTTTTGTTCCGGCTCAATTGATATTTTTTATTTGTGACATGATATTTTGTTAGAAAAAAAATATTTTTGTTTGAAAATAGATAGTTCAAATCGGAAATTTTTTGAATTTGAGGTGTAAAGAAGCACAATATTACTTACTAAGGGTGTGTTTGTTTGGATATTTGAATTTTGAGCTATGATTTGAATTGTAAAAATTGTAAATTGTAATAGTTGTATGACGTGATATAAACAGGTGTAGATGTGATGTTTTGAATGTAAAATTAATTTTTAGTATTATATAAAAAATACGAAAATATGTGTTTAATTTAATGTTTTGGAAGATAAAAAATTGTTGAATAGTACGCCCTCCGTGCCAGCTAATTTGTCTACTTTTACTAGGCATAGAATTTTAGGTATTATGTAATTAATAAGTAATTAATAAATGTATTAGTAAAAATAATTATAAATTAAAATGAGTGTCATATACTCCCTCCGTCCTTTGACAATCTATCTATTTTTTTATTTTTTTTTGTTCCATAACAAAATATCTATTTCTTTTTTAGTAATTGTACTATTTACCTAACATTACAAATACCCTTCTAATTTACAATATATTACACAAATGTCATTACCTTTATATCATACAATACTAATAAAGACATTTTAGTCTTTTTATTTTTACTTCTACTGCATTTTAATAATATTAATATTCTTAAAACTTCGTGTAAAAAGTAAAATAGATATATAGATACGAGACGGAAGGAGTATTATATTATTTTTTTTTTACTTTAGAAAAATATAATATTTTTTAATTATATTTTAAATTTTATAATTCCTAATTTTTAAAAATTTTATTAGACTATTTTTAATATATAATTATTTATATCATATTATAATTAATTTTTAATACATTTTTAATTAATTTTTATTTATATATATTTTAAATTCTCGCGTCTAACGTATATATAATATTATATTAACGACCGAGGAATAATCAACAAGCGAATGCGTATACGGTAACGATACTACACCGTAGAGTGTAACGGGCTATTATGATGTACACATTTGTTCATTTATGTATGAATTAATTAATATAATTACTTTTCCACTTAATTACAATGAAATATTAATTAAAGATGCGACAATATTTATTGATGTGTTTGTTTGGAAAATTTTACCTCAAATTTACTATTCATTTAAATTTATTTTTATTTTTTATATTGTATTAAAAATTAATTTTACATTCAAAATATCACGTCAACACCTATTTATATTACATCATACTAATTTTTTCAATTCAAAATTCTTATTATTTAAATCTGAATTCAAAATTCAAACTCCCAAACAATTTTACGCAATTTTATTATTATTATTATTATTAGTTATTTAAATATTTTTATTGGGTGAAATGATAGTATTGCTTTCTCACACAAAGGCCTGGTTAGATTATACTACTGTCTACTAGTGTCGGTAACGTCTTTTTTTTTTTTAAATAAATTATATTATTATTTATACATATATAGAATCCTTTTTATTATATAGATATATGTATATTTAAACGTTTTTATTTTATACTGCATGTCCTACAAGTAAATCTCTTTTATTTACTTATTTATTTATTATTTTTATTTCCGTTTACGTGTTTTTAACTAAAGGTGCGTTTACTTGACTGTGTTTTGGAATTTATATTTATTTATTTATTTATTTTTATTTACATAATGATTTAATTTGATATTCTATTTAAACAAATATATGCAGTTGTAAAATATCCGCCAAGATTGTAGAGTAAACAAATTGTGAGAAAAAAAACTTAGGGTATATTTCTTTTGCTTGAGTTTGAAAAAATTTAATTTGAGTTTGATATTAAAATAATATTTGGTAAAATATTTTATGAGAAAAAAAAAATATTTTTTTTGGAAAAACGTATGGTCCAAATAGTAAAATTTGTCAAAATAAAATACTCTGCATAGATGTTTTTAAAAGAAATTATGGGTTTGAATATTTGAATAAAATAACTATTGCTATTTGAAATGAGACATATATATATATATATATCATTTTAATTAAACATGTGCTAAATAGATAATATTTTCATTTTTTCAAGATTGATATTATTTTCTACGAATTTCCCGTAAATATATGATATATTTTTACAAAATATTACATACAAATAACTATTTTAACAAATTTAAACTCTAAACGAAAACAATCAACATATTTTTTTTTTACGTAAAAGGATATTTTTTACACAAAAAATTGGATTTCATTAAATTAAAATAATATTTTTAGTTAAAATATAGTGCAATATAATACGATAAATAATAAAGATTTATTCATATTGTATTTTTCAATGACAAAATTCCTTTATAAATATATTTAAAAAAATACTTCATCCGTCCACAAACTAATGTTCTACTTTTCTATTTGGGACGTCCAACAACTATTGTCCTATTTCTTTTTTTAAACACAAATTTTACATTGTTCATTCATTTTTTACTTTTAATCTCTACTATACACTTAAGGGCAAATTTGTTTATTCATAAAAGAAAAGACAATCATCTAAAAAATCGTGTAAATATACTTTAGGATAATAGAAAATAGACGGAGGAAGTATAAATATATATACATAGTAACACAATATATACTAATATATGCACTTCACGGGTGTATTTGTTTGTGAGTTTTAATTTTTGAATTTAGATTTTAGAATATTAAAAAGTTGAATTTGAATAATTTATTTGATGTGATATAAATAAAGGTTGATATTATGTTTTAAATATAAAATAAATTTATAATATAACAAAAAAATATATATATATTTAATACGATATTTTTAAAAAATAAAATTTAAATAATAAAATTCTGTAGTTAACATTATAAACAAATTCATACAAAAAAAAATTGACCATCCCCAAATAATAATTAAAAGTGAATTAAAATTTATTAAGACAAGTGAGCAGGTGGGGCCCTAATATAGTACCCGACGAACAGGATGGGTTGTCTGCCATGTCTTTGTATTTTCATAACACATCTTTCTTTTTATTTTCATTTGATAATTTCTTTTTTTGATTTAATAATTATTTTAATATTTTTATAAAATATTCTTTCTCTCATTTATTTATATAAATATATTTTATTTTAAAATTATTAATATTATTAATTAAATAAAAATAATAAAATATATCATAATATATTATTATTAAATAATTAAATATATATATTTTTAAATAATGTAACACCAATAAAAAGTATCAATTATTATGAAATAGAGAATACGTATTTATATTTAAAAAATCTCAATATAATGTTTGCAGGATTTCGTTTTTTTTTTTTTTTTCATGCTATTTTTATAATGTTTGCAGGATTTTGTTTTGTTTTTTTTTTTTTTTCATGCTATTTTTCCTCTTTGTTTTATTGTTATTATTATTACAATATCATATTTAAACAATAAATTAAAACTAAAACAGGACCGCAAAATTTAATACTCTCTCCGTTCAAATACAATAATCTTATTTATTATTTTTGTCCGTCTTAAAACAATAGTCTTATTTTCAG